TGGGTGAGTTTTGGCTGATCACGGCAAGCCTTTCTTACGTATCTCTGATCTGCTGCTGGGGAGGTTAAAGGCTAGGAGTCGCTTGGCTGGGACAATGGGAATGACTGTTCATGTGGCTCTCATCTTCCAACAGGCTAACTCAGGCTTGTTCACATGACAGAGGCCATGGTCAAAGAGAGAGAGCAGAACCATGCAAGGACTTCTTAGTCTTAGTCTTAAGTTTAAAACTAGAAGATAATTACTTTTGTTACTTTCTAGTGGTTAAATAGGTCAAAAGACCAACCTAAATTCAACAGGTAGAGAAATAGCTCCAATCCTTAGTGGGAGTTGCTGAAAACCCATATTGCAAAATGATGTGGATACATGGAAGGAAATGATCACAGCCATTCTTTTGCAAACAATTTACCACCTTCTGGCTAGTGTCTATCTGAATTCATTCTGTGTTTATCAAATGACCAGGACCTTTTCTAAAGGGGGCAAATAATAACATGTCATCTTTATTCCATTACCTTGCAACTCATTTTGCCATAATTCCTCTCCTTGGCCATGTTCTGTGCTAATTTTCTTATGTTTTAGAAATTCTGTTCTCTGGTACAGCACTGATTTCCCCCTACTCACAATTTTATTTAGTCTTCTCAAGCTTCAAATTAGTCCTCTGAGTTAATTGTATTATGGAACATTCATTAGAAACAGTATAGTATATAAAATTATATTTTGCAATATTTTTAATAGCCATGGATAGGGAAACCTATATATTGTGAAAGAGACTGAAAAAGGGAGAAAAGAGGAGAAAGGCTGTTATGTGTGTAAAGAAATAGCATCCTTGCCACCCTGTGGAAGTTTCTAAAATTGCATGATTCAAAATCTTTGAACATGTGTCTACTGAGTACCTCTTTGTATAAATCTCTGTGCTGAGTAACAGTGAGGGAAAAATGAACTGTGCCATGCAAAGGGGCATCTCCATGTTGCAGAACTAAACAGAGCCAATGTGCTCACCTTGTGTTGTCAAGTTGACCAACCCTACCCCCAGCCTCATCTCAATAGAGATGGGATGATGGCAGAGCCCCATCTCATGATCAGGATTTTAGAGCTAGAAGAATCTTTTGGATTTATCTAAGCCAACTCATAGTCTTTTGTTAGGTAAACTTTTAAAATACACAAAGTATTTATGGGAAAGTTCTCAGATAATGATTTAATAGCTCCATGAGTGTACCATGTAACCAGCACCCAGAATGACAAACAGGAAACTCCCAGTTTCCTAGAAGCCCACCTCTTGTGCTCTTCCAGTCACTGCCCTCCCTCCACATCCTGACTTCCAATAGCATAGACATATCTTGCTTCTTGGGAACTTTTTCCAAATGGAATTATACTGTTCTCTTTTGCGTCATGTATGCCACACTACATATGACATCGATAATATTATTCATCCTTGTTGTTATGTATTCTTGAAGATTATTTTCATCAATTCATAATATTCCAACATATGAGTAAATCACAACTTATTCAATTCTGCAGTTCATGGTGCATATATGCTTGTATTTTCGTTGTGTATCTATTCAGGACTATAGTTTCTGGGCCACATGTATGCATATATTTGGCTTTTGTAAATTATGCCAAACAATCTTCTAAATTGGTTATACCAAGTTATATTTCCACCAGCCCAACTCTAATTATGTAACTTTTATTTTTAAATAATTATAGGTTTGTAAGAATTTGCAAAGAAAAGTCCAGTGGAGATCTGTGTCCCATGTACTGAGCCTCCCCAATGCCTAATATTAAGTATCCAGCATATGTATTTTTTTAATATAGGAAGCAGACTGAAAGAGGCAAAGTGATCTGGTTGAAGCCTCATGATAATTAGTTGCAAAATTATAACTAGAGTATGGACTTTCTATTGACTCATGAAAAGCTGCAACAAGTTCTCTTTAACATCACCTTACAGTTTGCAGCCCTTTTATGTTTATAAAATTACATCGTTGGTAACACAGAAACAGAAAAGTAAATATCACATTTTTTCACTGATAAGTGGGAACTAAATGATGAGAATACATGAACACATAGAGGGGAACAACACACACTAGGGCCTTTCAGAGGGTGAAGGGTGGGAGGAGGGAGAGGATCAGAAACAACAACTAATAGATTCTAGGCTTAATACCTGGGTGAGGATATAATCTGTGCAAGAAACCCTCATGACATGAATTTACCTACATTAAAAAAACCTGCACATGTACCCCTGAACTTAAAAGTTAAATATATATAATTGATATGCTCTCTTAGTAAAATTTGAAGAACATTTACCTGTCTCCTAGGAGTAGAAACTAACATTGAACCTGGTACAGAATCAGTGTTCAATAAAAGGTAGTCACCTATTATCAGTAGCAACAGTATCATCCCAGGTGGAGAGCATTTTTATCACCATTCCTTAGAAGAGGGGTGTAATGCATAAAGAATTGAATACATCTTCAAGGGCTGAGTTGATAAGCCACAGCACCTATCCTAGAGTTGTATTTAGAAACTCTGACACTACACTTCAATTGCTGATAGTGATAACTCGCTTGATAATATGCACTGTGTTGCCTTCATTCTCTGTCCTGTCTCAATTTCTACTCCCCTCCTGCCAGTATTTTCTGGGCTCACATCCCAGATAAAATATTTGTACTAAAATTCTTACTCAGAATCTGCCTCTGGGGAATCAAAACTAAGACACTCATCTTCACTATTTTTAATTTCTGTTCTGATGCAAAAAACAACTTCCAAGGAGTGGCTTCCGTGTGACATTTTTAAGTTTCCTCCAGTGATCCTAAAAGATCAGGTTATGCCTTGTCAGTTCTTTTGGCAGGATTTCTTTGTTCTGTGGCAATGATCTCTATCTCATGGATTAATTTCTTAAAGAACTCTGGCCTAGAGAGGTTTAGTATTTTACTTGACCTTCCTATGTAGAATATTTTTGGATAACAGCAAAGTCCTCTCATACCTTAACCTTAAATGTTCCAAGAGAAAGTTCTACCCTGTTAGAATAAAGGTCATGCCTTCCTCAATTATAGCTAATCTCAAGGTATGAGAGTTTAACTAATGGTCAAATCCATATTCAGTCTAATTACACATAGTTATGAGTATATAACATTCAACCCATGCCCCAGTGATTTATAGAATACAAATGTGATGGGATATTGCTGCTTAAATCCAAGCAGGAGAAGAGGCTCAGAAATCACAAGGACAACCTTTATACAAAAGCCATTGCTAAGCATTAGTCAGACAGTTAAGATTAACATGGGATAGCACAACTCTCCATTAGTTACTCATCAGCAAACACATAAAAACGAGAGCTAGATTATAGCTCTTTGGTGTATTTTTAAAAATGAGAAAATGGAAAAGCACAGAGGCTGGGCAAGTACCCAGGGTCATGCAACTGGCTAAATTGCTGAGCTGTCAGACACCAAGTCCTCCCCTTCTTAATCCAGTGTACCAATGGGCCTCATAGGGAATGAAAACACAGATACTAATTCAAGAATTTCAAATTTTAGCATCCATCAAAATCATAGTGGGTTTGCTAAAATACAGACTGATGTTCCCTGCTGCCTAGAATTTCTGATTTCATAGGGCTAGTGTGGAGACCCTGAGGATTTGCATTTGTGTCAAGGTCCCAGCACTGCATTTGATACTGATGTTGCTAGCCCAAGGATCACATTTTGAGAATGCTTGCACTAATGGAATAGATTTTTTTCTAAGATGGATCTCAGATGGTACTCATGCGAGGAGCCTGGAGCCACTGGCAGACACAGGGGCATGCTATTGTTAGAATCACAGGGCTTAAAATTCAGGCCTGAGCAGAGACTTTTAGAGGTGAAATGCCAAGCAGTTAGGTCTCGAAACTAGGCTGACTAGGGAAGTTGAGTTTACAAAGATCAGAAAGAGGCACAGCAGCAAACATGACTCAAGGTCAGAAATGCTAAGTTCAGAAAGTTTCAAGGCTCAGAATCTCAACTCTTTCAGAAGGAAGGATTGTTATCCTAGCTGAATGCTGAACTACTAGGAATAAAGGCAAAAAATTAAATTATTAGGCTCATTTTTTTGTTCTTTTGGCCCTCAAAAACCTATATCCAAATGCTTCTCACAATGGATACTTCCAGTGAATGCTTGGATATAACCCACTCCAGAAATGCTTTGGATATGCTATTGTCATTATTTTCAGTTTTCCCTTGAAGTTTTGTTGTTAAAATGGACTGAAGTGAACCTAGGCTCTTTCCCCACTAGCTGTGGAACTGATGAATTGTGTAACCCTTTGGAACCTCGGTTTCCTTACCAGGACAAGAGGGTTAAAACAATTTTTTTCTCATACGCCTTCTTCAAGAATTAAGTGAGCCATACTAGCACTTGCCAGATGCGTAACAGCTCGTAAACCTCCATTGTGTCATTATTCTTACCATTATTACCGCGTGCTAGTATCTTTCCTCTGATGACTGCCACACTCCTGGCGATGGTTATAGTCTGTGAGATTTCACTTTTGGAAAACCAGTGATATTTGAATAATGATTAGGTATGAGATTGAAGAAATGTCTTTTACTTTAGGAATTAGAAAACTTAAGAAATAAGCCCTGGGGGTGTGTGCGTCTGTGTGTGCGTGTGTGTGAGTTAAAAGCAGTTAGAATTACCTGGAACAGAAGAAAAGACATAAGTCGAAAATATGTGGTAAAATCTATAACATTGTGCCAATGTTAATTTCTTAGTTTTTAATAAGTGTACTATGGTTATGTAAGATTTAAACATTAGAGGAAGCTAGTTACAGGATGTACTGTAACTCTGTGCTATTTCTGTAACTCTTCTATAGATGTAAATGATCTGAAATAATTTTTTAAGTATAAAATTAATTAGAAAAGAGCTAATTAAGAAGGTTGTGACATAGTTTTTAATAACCTTCTATAGAATAAGTATTTACTCTTTAAAAGCAGGTTTTATGTTGTTATTTATTTATTTATTTATGTTTCTTTCCCCAGGAGAAGCTAAAATGCATCCAGAAGCAAGTCGTGACACAGAAATGCTAAGTGCTCCCCAAAACCATTTTCTCTTTTCTCTGGACTCAACCTTAGACTACATTTCCCAGCTTCTCTTGCAGTTAGTTGCGGTCATGTGACTGCATCTGGTGAAATAGTTATGACCAGCAGTAATGCAGTATTTCCTGGCCTGGACTGTGGAAACCTCCCACAATCCTTTGTGTTCCCTCTCCCCATTTAACACCCTGGAGGGAGAATAGAGTAAGACAGAAGGAAATTGGGCACTGAATGAGCATGCAAGCCTGCCATTCAATCAGACATTCCTTTTGGGCTTTGATGGCATGAGAGACTTTTTGGAGGGTTGAATTGCTAAAATGGGCTACTTACCTAACTAATGAAAAATCTGGGCAGCATACTGTGGCATTTCTTCGGGTGGTATTGTTTTTGGTTAAACATGGTTTAACTCTGAAAGAAATCCCAAACGAAGTAAGTATCTCTAGTATAAAATTCCATGGTGGATATTTTAAAATGAGATGATTATGTTTGAATGTGCATATTCTGGTATTTGCATTTTATTGGTTTATATTTACATATAATTTAAAAACTGTAAGTATCATGAAGGCAGGAACCATGACTGCTTTGTCATTGACTGTACTCCTAGAATTTAATGCAGTGGTTCACAGTTAATAAAATTTAATTGAATCAAGAAAATTTGGAAATAACTGATTCGTTCATACAGAATAAGAAAGGGTTTTTAATTGCATGTTTAAAGACGAACATAGCAGTATATTTATTTGTTTTGTAGTTAAAATACATTATTTTGTATCTCAGCTTTGTTTGAATAAATACAAATGAAATTACATAGCAGTTTTATCCCATACTATGTATTATCTTGTTTAAAAATGTTTGCCTAAGAACATAGTAAGGACTAAAGAAGTTCTTTTTGAAAGAGTGCATTTATAAGCCCAGCTGACTGTTGTGTTTTGTTGTGGGATACATGGAAATAACTGTATCTTTTATTGCTTTATATCATTGATCATAAATGAAGTTACAAAAACATGCAGTTCTTCACTTAACTGAACGCATATGTGTATCTTCTATAAAGGTACATTATAAGTCCTAAATAAATTTTAGTTAGTGACTGACAGAATAGTATTGAGAAAAGCTTAATTATTTGATTGACTGATGAAGAAAACTTCCCATAACTTCATATATTGGATTAAAGTAATGAGAGGAATAAGTATAAAATATTAGCAAGTGATTGTAAGAATGAATTAGAGTAAAATTTTCCCCTACAACAAATCTAATTATTTCAAGAAGATCCATGTGATTTAATTTGTTAGTGCCCAGTAGTTTGTATTAAAATAAATTAAAAAGCTGTGAGATATCCTCTTGTGAGATATTGGCATTCTAGTTTTTGTTATGTACAAGGTTTCCCAAAGCTGCTAAAATTAATTTCTGAACTCTCCCCTTTAGAGTGCAATTGCTGAGAGGAAAAATATGTAGATAATAGAAATATATATTGTAACTAATGAAGTAAGCATGTATCCATATTAATGAAGTCCTCTAATTAACCATGCTACTGAATAGGATAATATGGCATGGAAGAAATGGGCATAATTTCATTCTGAAGCTGACATAAAATAATAATGAAATAAATAGCTTTGTGGCAAGATAATTATAGATTTATTAATCTGTGTTTTTAATCTCCTGCTATGTAATAAGCAATAAACTGAGGGCTATTTGTGATTTCTATTCTGTTTCCACCACTTCCCACTGAGACCCAACCCACCTCACCCAACCTCTTTGTTCCTCTGACTCAGTTTTGCTTTAGAGCCAAAGCAAATATCCTGAAGAAAATCCCTTTTCTTGTTTGATCTTTCAAAAGCTAGATCACAATAAGATTATGTGAGGCACTTCCAACAAGGTAGACTTTTATTTTATTTGGAAGGAAGGGAGATGAGTGACGAGTCAAAGACGAGAATCACAAATAAGTGGAGGGAAAAGAAGTTACACCGAGAGTGGAATGAAACTCTAATATGCTGGTCTAGCAAGAAGTAGTAACCCAATATTCCCTTCCCATCACAGGTACTCCAAAAGTCATCAGGACCACAAAATGAATAGTTCTGTGGTACTTCTAGGAGATTGGATAGAGTGATGATGAAATTCCATGCTTCATGAGGATTCTTGTCTCAAAATGACTTGAAAACTGCAGAGCTATGAGGGTTCAGGGGTTAGGTTAACTGGAAGATGATCAACAGGTCCTCCCCAAGTGCTCTGTTCTGCCTGAGATTTCTGGTATAATTCAAGGCATTGCAGAGTGGAGGAAAAGGGAATAAGGTAGGGTCAATGGGGAGTCATGGGAGAGCACCTAATAATGAGGGAGATTCTATTTCTTCCCAGACTTGAAGTTAGATTTAATGTGATTGAAAGAACATAAAGAAATGTGACATTTCTTTGACTTTGAATCATAGTAGCAGCAAATTCATGCCTCCTATGTGTTTATAAGATTATCTATACTATATGGTATGTTAACCAATAATACATTTGTCTTAAACAAAACAAAGATTCCTTTTGATCTCAGAGGCAATTCTGCAAACAAAAAATGCATGCATGAATAGAAATTTTCTATCAATAATAAATTAATATCAAAGCTGTTTCTAGGTTCTAATGCCATTTCCAAATTCAATGGTCTTTTTGATGGCTATAATTCAGCTGAACAGAAGAAAAGGGGGTAAAAATGTATGTCCTGTGTTGTCATCTAAAATGCATGCTACTGATTGGCTTAATTATAATATCACGTTTCCTTTCTAGTGACCTTTAGAATATATATAAAATGAAAGATTCATGTATATTCAGTGAGGAAACAGCAATTTGGAATTGAATTACTTGTCTTGGTTCTAGTGAGCTCAAAATACTTCAATTTGTTGTTCATTAAGATTCCAACCACAGGTGTTGTATTTGTGTTCCCCAATATTGACCACTTCCCAGAGTCACACTCTTTGTACCTCCGTAGTTCCTCCCATTAGAGTAGGCAGAGTATACTTCAAGTCACTTATTCTGAGCTTTACCACGTGAAGTGCTTTGGATGTGCTGAATGAAGTAGCTTTAAATGTGATTATATGGTTGAACTTGACTTCTTGTGCACCTGCCTTTTATCATGAGAAGAGCCTGCCTCTGGAAACTACTTTTCGAAGGATGAGAGCTATAGATAAGATCCGGACCCAGACTACAGCCTGAATCTAAGCTTGGTTGAGCCCAGCTTAGAACAGCCAAATTCCAGATGTCCTGAAGGCATATAAACCAGAAATAAATGTGTCTTGTGAGCCACTGAATTTGGGATAGTTTGTTACACAGCATTATATTGTATATATCAGACTAATGCATCTTTTCATTCTTTTTGCTCAGTACATCTCCAAGCTCCTTGTGGTGCTTTGAATATTAAGGTTAGTTATCCTTTTCTATTTATTCTTCCTTATTTAGAACTAGAGACATTTATATACTATGATTCCAACTCAGCCTGGAACAATTTTTCATTTGAGAATATGATTCAGCATTTATACTATAGGTTGGTGCAAAAGTAATCGTGGGTTTTGTGATATTTTAATTGCACCAACCTAATATTTCAAGGATGAGCCAGAGAATAAACGGTTAAAAATGTGGAAAGATAAATTGCACCTGGAGAGGTGTAAATAGTACATTGTGATTGTTACTTAAGCTACAATTTACATCAATTGTATGATTTTCATACACGGAAAATGGGAGAAAAATGTTTTCAATGGGAAGAGCATTACTTTATCCAGTTTTGATTCATTTTCCCACTGCACACACATTTTAAAAGTACTTTCAATGAAACAGTGTTAGTGATACAGTGTTAAAGAGCACAGATGTCAGGCTACTGGGTACGATAGGAGGAAGAAATAGACTAGGGTGGGATAGAGACCAAGTCCTCTGGGTGAGACAGGGTCCCGTTCAGAAACAAGGGGCTTCTTTAACCTGAGAAAGCGGGTTAAAACAAAAGCAAAAGCCAAAACAAAATAAGGAGGTTAGCACCGAACAACATTGGATCCATGGCCTTTGCAGCTTCAGTGAGAATTAGGAAACCATTGCTGTTGCGTGGTCTGACCCAGAAAAAGTTCTATTCCAGGTAATTGTCAAACTCACAAGGCAGGCTGGACATAAACTACTGTTAGGAACTTTTCACGTAGCCAGGTTCTCTGGAAAAAGGAATGGGGAAGAGCTTTCTTCTCCAGGGAAGCAAGTTTGTCAGGAGATCTGCAGGACGCTTGAATCCAAGTCATTTTGGATTGATGACTGATTGGCCTTGTGTTGGGGTATGGAGAGAGAAAACAGTTAAAATGGACACAGAAGTTTTTAGTTTTGATTTTTGATGTATGATATTGAACAAACTAAGGAATTGGGGAAAAGAACTGTGAAGTTTATCTATGTCTACCATAATGCCATGTAAGAAATCACACTAAAATGTTATAGCTTAATATAATAACCATATTATTTTTCAAGAGTTTATAAATTGGCTTGGTGGTCCTGCTGATAGAGGCCCAACTAGCTGATCTTAGCTGGGCTGACTCATACCTCTATTGTCAGTTGCAGATCAACAAGGTCGAGTTGCTGTTTCACTTGGGCTCATACATATACGTGAGGACTTGGACAAGACAAGTGGGCTTCCTCAGGTCTGTATAATCCACCAGGCTATTTTGTGCTTATTCATATTTTGGGCTTATTTATATTCATATGGCAATATGGACAGGGATCCCAGAGAATGAGCAGAGCACACAGGATTTCCTGAGACCAAGATCTGAAACTGGGTTACGTCACATTTGCCACATTCAGTAGGCCAAGTCAAGTCAGAGACCTGCCCAGATTCAAGAGCTGGAGAAGTAGCTTTGGCTTCTTCATGGAGGAATTGCAAGTGACATTGCATGGGGTATGGACACAGGGAAAGAAGGAATACTGGGGTCACTTTTACAATAATAGTACCGCAGTGAACAATCATATTCAATCCCTATTTTATGGCAGGCACTGTGCTAGGGACTTTACCAACTTGGTCTCATCAAAGATCAGAGCAATTCTAAGGGATGGGGAAAGTGAGAAATGGAGATACCTAACTTGTGTACAAGCACACGGATATTAAGGGGTAAATTCAGGTAATAGTTCTGATTCTCTCTAAAGCATATCTTTTTTCTACTCTTTCTCACACTGCTTCCTGCAATTACTGGTCCCCCAATCATTTACTACTTGAAACGGAATCAATTCTACCACAGCAGGAATCTGAAGAGTCGAGTGAGGTTATATGGTCTGAGATTGCTGGGAGTGCTTGATAGAAATGAAGTGTTGGCTGTGTGAAATTAACCTTTTATAAGAGAGTGGTTACCATCTGAGGGACCAGGATTCCAAGTCTTCAAGGCCAAGGAGGCCTAATGAACTCTGTTTCCAAGGGGTCAACATTTGTAAGAGAGTGGGAGATAAGACCGTGACTTCTAGACATGACAATCTTTGTCTGTAGATGAGATGTCTACATCATAGCCTAATGGCCTCTCATTGATGTCAAGGGAGCTAAAACTAGGATCTATACTAGAGAAGGGGGTCACAGGCATGAGGGTAGAGGTTTGTAGTTCCCTGGCTAATTGGAGTTTCTTGAATGGAAATTGGGAAGAGAATTGAAAGTTGATGTGTACACAGACATTTCCTATTTTGATTTTTTTTGTTTGTTTTTGCTTTGAGCTATATCTTGTACATGCGGACATTAAGTAATTATTTCTTGAGTCATCAAGATGAGGATATAACCTGATACAACCAACACCTAGAGGACTAAATTATTAAGCTCATGAGACAGGAGGTAAGAAAACTTCATTTTCTAGACCCTCATGGAAAAAGCAGAAGAGAAAGCATCAGCTATAAATTAGAACTTCTCACTCACTGAATTAGAGACCAGCACTGATTCTCAAAGTTTCTCCCATAAACTATCAGATAAACAAGAATTTCTGGTGTTGGCATTCTGCAGGTTTCACTTTGAGCAAGCTTTCTAGTGATGTCTACTAAAGATCTAGACCCTCCATCTTGGGCAAAACTGAACTTAGGAGATTTATTGTTATTCACTAGATCAGTGCTATTCAAAGTGAGACTTCATACTGGCATCAGCCTCAGCTGGTTCTGGAGTAGGAATTCAGTTCTCAGGTTCTGTCCAAGACCTATTGAATTAGAGTATCTGAGGCTGATGCCCAGGAATCTGTTTTTCCATAAGCTCTCTAAATAATTCTTACAGTTGCTAATGTTCGAAAAGCCCTGAGCTAAAAGAGGCTGAAGAGGACTCATTGATATTCTTAGTAATAAGTCAGGTTTCTTTGAATTTGCTCGGCTATTGCCGTATCTTAGGACCTGAAATTGATCACCCATGGCAGAAACATTGTTGTATGTTTGACCAAGAAACTGAGTGACTGGCACATATCTGAACAGACTTGAACATGTTCTTTTGGTTACCATTGGTATAGTTTCTATCCTTGTATAAGCTTTCTGTGAATGTCTGTGAGGAAATTCAATAACATTCTCTAGAGTTGTATAAAATAATAATTCAGAACATAGAAAGAAAGATCTGACGTCAACTTCTACTCTACCATTTACAAAACGGGAGGCCTTGGGCAAGTTCATCTCTTTTGTGTCAGTTATTAATCTGTAAAATAAGCAGCATAACAGTATTTACCTCATAGAATTCATTGAAGGATTTTAAAAGGGAATTCATATAATGCACATAGTACCGTGTTATTTCCATAAGTAGCAACTCATTCAGTATTAGTTGCTACTATTATTACTATTGTAGCTACGATTAATATATATATATATAATCCCAAGAGATTTTTCAGTTATATAATGAATCAGATAAGTAGATATCAAAATAAATATTTTTAAAATATAAGATAATATATATTGATCACTCTAATATAAAAATGATATACCCTTTCATTCTGAGAATCAAATTTTTGCATTCTCCAAATAGTTTAAATTTAGGTCTCTTAATTCCTTATTTGAGGTCAGCAACATTTGTGAGCAGAAGTTTCTTTCTGATATACCTCCGGCATGAAATAGGAGATCAAATTGAAATAACTAGTAAAAAAAAATCACCGCATGAAAAGTGGCACAGGAGATATTTGTTAATGAGTAGATGAATGTTGTTCAGCCCTGAGAGTAAATGGTACATAAAGCAAAGCAATGGCTTTTGTAAAACTCAGCACACTCCTTTAAAAATGTTTTTTTCAGCTTCTGGGTTCTAAAGGAGCAATTTGTGTGCACCATGAAAAAAAGAAACAAAAGCATGAGCCATGTAGGGTAAAGATGAATGCCACCGACAGTGTCTTTCCTTCCTCTTCTGACTCTAGCCTCATTGATGGTTTAAGAAACAAGGGCAGATGTTGCAGCCTCAACTGGGAAATAGAATCTTTTCAGGCCCCAGGCAATCCTTCCATCTGGAAAGGTCGAGGTCAGACACCAGGAACATCAAAGGGGAGAAAGGTCTTGGGGATAAAGAAATAAATTGCATCCCTGTGGAGGACTAAGAGGAGGAAAGCCAGAATCCACATTCTGTTGTTTTCTTATGAGAAACACTGCAGATTTCCCCAGAAATGAAATTGATTTTTCTCTCGTAATTTGTATTTTTTGAAATATCTATCTTTTTACGATAGAGATACATACTAAAAATGTGAACTAAACCTTTTAGTATCTTTATAAACATTTCTACTGATTTCTTACCTTGGAACTTTCCCAAAAAAAGACTGAAATTGGGTCATTTGAATTCAGATATGTCTGTCCTTCTGAAATGAAATAAACATCCAAATATATCATTTTTAACTATGTCATATGGGAATGTGTCTAATGAGTTAGATATGTAACTGGTTACAGTGTTTAAATTTTGTGAAGATTTTTATTGAAAGGATACATATGAAATACAATGCCTTTGGTCCTGTATTACTGGTTAGAGTTTAATCTGGAAGAAGAAAATATTGGAAAGTCTAGTCTAATAATATGGTAAAGTCTCCTGCCAATTTTCTTAATGGTAAGGCCATTTTTTAAAAGTGTTCAACCCTTGGGTACCATATGTTCATAACTTTCGGCATTTTATTTCTCCGTAGAGTCTTTTCCTGACAAACTACCCTCTAGAAGGAGGAAAGTTTCTTTTTTTATTTCTATTTAGTCTGTCTGAGGCTTTATTTTGTAAACTCCCTAAATTATTGGGAGGAAATGGCTCCATATACAGCTATTATTTAGAGTTCTACTAATTTATTCTTTAGAATTATGACAAATAATCACTACCATTGATGTCTTGCTAGTATATAGCCATTTAGACTTAACAGAATGAATATATTTACTACAATATAGTATATTAAGTAGGTTTATTTATTTATATACAGTAGCCTATATCACAGTCAAATTCTTCTCAAGCCAACATTTTTATATTACTCTTTAAGTTCTGGGATACATGTGCAGAATGTGCAGGTTTGTTACGCAGATATCCAAGTGCCATGGTGGTGTGCTGCACCCATCAACCTGTCATCTAGGTTTTGAGTCCCGCATGCATTAGGTATTTATCCTAATGTTCTCCCTTCCCTTGCCCCCACCTCCTGACAGGCCCCAGTGTGAGATGTTCCCCTTCAATGTGTTCTCATTGTTTACCTCCCACTTATAAGTGAGAACATGTGGTGTGTGGTTTTCTGTTCCTGTGTTAGTTTGCTGAGAATGATGGTTTTCAGCTTCATCCGTGTCCCTGGAAAGGACATGAACTCATTCTTTTTTATGACTGCATAGTATTCCACTGCATATATGTGCCACATTTTCTTTATCCTGTCTATCACTGATGGGCATTTGAGTTGGGAACCAACATATTTTTGATGTCTATACATATTGACCCTTAAAGAGTCCCCAGTACTGCATCAGAAAATATGTGCTCTCTGGTGTTTGGAGTAGGGTTTCAAAGCTCCTTGTCTGTGGTACACTCTGGGAGCTACTGAGGAACAGGCCAGGGCTACAGGAATATTATTTGTTATGTTTAATGATATTAAATATATTATAGAAAATGTTTAATATCATTAAACATAGCAAATGATATTCACTGTTATATCCAAATTAAACTCTAGCCATTGATACAGGACCAAAGGTGTTTATTCCATGTCCATCCTATCCATAACAATATCTTTCTTGGTGGAAGGAGGCAAATCAGGTCTATGGGGAGACTTTATTCTACTTCCCCATAATTTTACATTCTTTTTTATAATTTGCCATTTGGCAAACTATTTACTAGAGTCAGAGAAAACTCAGCAAGCTTTATAACAACACCGAAAAACAATCAATGTGTTCAGGCTTCAAAACAGAAAATTCAAAAAGAAAAATGTTAGAGTTTAAGATACAGACAAAGAGGTTTCAGAGAGATTGAAAGAGAAAGAGAGGGAGGAAAGCAGCGTGTGGGAGAGAAAGAGAGATTGTTTTATTGGCTCAGTATTCGTACAAGTTACTCAGCCTCAGTATGTCTTTGTTTCCTCTACTAACCTCTAACCTCATGTGGTGGTCATGAAAATCAGCCTCCCAGTTTTCTGATTGTGCTTTCAGTGAGGGCCTCACCTCCCGTGGGCTGTTCCCAGTTGAGTGAGAACAGCACAGATGTTAAGGGAAGCCCATTTCCAGAAGTTGTGGAGGCTCCTCTGATGATTAATTTTTAGCCTGAAGGCTCTGAGGTAAGCAAAATAAGTAAAATAATGGTTTTTGAAAGATTCCTGTGTCTTAATCCCCAGGACCTGTTACTATTTACATGGCAAAAGGGATTTTGCAGATGTGATTAAGTGAAGGATCTTGAAATAGGAAGATTACTTTGGATTATCTCAGCGAGCCCAAAATAGTCACAAGAGTTTTTTAAGAGGGAGACAAGAGGATCAGAATCAGAAAAAGGAAATGTGATAACAGAGGCAGAGGTCAGAGATGGTGGCAGGGAGGGGTGGATTTGAGGTTTCTATATTATCAGGCTTGAGGATGGAAAAGCTACACACCAAAAAATGCAGGTAGCTCCTAGACTGGAAAAGGCAAGGATTCTCTAAATCCCCAAGGTGTGTAGCCTCACTGGTGCCTTGATTTTGGAAATTCTGATCTTCAGAACTATAAGATAATACATTTTTGTTTTGTTTTAAGTCACTACATTTGTGGTCACATAGCAGCGAAAGACTCCACATTCACTTTGGAAAAATACGTTAGAATGGACACTGTAAGGACTCTTCTACGAAATCTTCGGTTCTTTCCTTTCTTTTCCTGGGGTCTGATGGCTCTCCCAGCCTCCTCTGACTCTTCCTCATTTTGCTTCACAGCAATTTCCCCTAGTAAATCTTTTGCACACCTAATCTTTAGTGTCTGCTCCTTAGAGTACCTGGACTAATACACCCTATACATTTTACTTGATGGTTAAAAGCTTTTAATGTACCTGCCACATGTTAGCTACTGCGATTATTAGTTACAGTAGTACGAATAACATAGGGCAAAATGAAGTTAACCTGTCCCTTGGATAAAATCCTAGAAAGTCTCATCGTTTACTTGTTTATACTCAAGCATTAACATTTTCTGTAGTCATTTTTGTCTCTCACACTGTCTCCATTCCATAGTTAATACACCCAGTCTAGCAGGAGAGTGCATTCCCATTTTCCTTCAGTTAATGTGATCGTTCAGCACAGTGCTGAGTAGGTTGGCAGGTCTGTTTGGGAGCTCAGGGTTAACAAGCCCATTGATGTTAAATATCTGGCCATGTCCTTTAATCCTGCTTTTATCCAGCAAGAAGGCTCTTATTTAGAGATCTATCTGCTTCAGTTCTTGATATCTCCATAGCTGGTTCCAAACTCAGATAGGGAAGTGAATGTGTTTGAAAGTACATTGGAAGAAAATAATAAAATTCTCATCTTCTGGTGCCTCATGAATTCTGCTTAACCAATGTTATTGCTAAATATGACAGAAGTGCCATCACAAACCAGCACTGCAATAATGGAATAGTCAATGAATGCTACTGACAAAGCTTGTTATTCATTAAGAAAACATGAGATTAGTTCACATCATACACAGAAATCAATTTCAGCTGGTTTAAATGCCCTGAAGGTAAAAAGTAAAACTCTAAACAATTTAGAAAAAAATAAATAGGATCTTCATGAAATGAGAGTGGGGGAATTTTTATTCAAGATATAAAAGATACAGAATTTAAAGTAAAATATTGATACATACCTTCGAAGTATAACTTAGATTTTAAATTTTTTCTATTCTTACATAACAACTTTTCAGTGTGATGTTGATGTTTTGCCCAACCAGATGCAGAGGGAATCTGTAGCTTTACTACATCTTGAGTCTGGGCTGGACTTGTGGCTGCTTTGAGGAATCAAAAGCAGTGGGACTGATGTGGGCAACTTCCAAGCTGAGGCCTCAAGAGACATGAAGCTGGCACCACCACCCTCTGGCAACCACATTGCTAAGTGAGAAAGCCTGAGTCAATCAGGAGGAGGAACCACATGGAGAAAAACACAGGGGCCTCATCTAAATGTCCCAGCCAACAGCTAGACATCTGAGTGAGAACATCTAGGACGAGCCGTTCCCCAGCAGACCTGTCACATGACCATAAACAGGAGTGAGACCAGCCAAAGCCACAGAGAGCAGGGATGATTCCTGTCCACACTGCCAATCCACAGAATGGGGCAAACAAATAATCTATGCTACTGAATTTTAGAGTGATTTGTTATGAGACAATATATAACTGAAACAATAAATAAAAACTTCATAAATAAAAGCAGATAAATATTTGTGAGATTCTCTACACAAAGTAAAATGTAAGTCACAGACCAAGACAATATTTGAATGAATACAAATGATTAGACTTACTACAAAGATATATATATATATATATATATATATGTATATAAGTATTGACAACTCAATAAGAAGAAAATTAAATTAAGCAATATGAAAAGAGATAAGCAAGTAATTCACAAACAAGAAGAAAGTAATGCTCAAAAATATATGAAAAGTTGCCTAACATTAGATGTAATCCAAGAAATTAAAATTAAAACAGATATGAAAAATAATTTCATACCCATTAGTTCAGTAAAAAGTAGCATGTGACCAATTTTGCTAAGAAGATGGAATGATGAGAGTCTCCTACACTAATTGTGATAGAATAAATTAGTGCCATCACTTTGGGAAACTTTGGCAGTAAGGAGCAAAATTGACAATACATATTCTAGAAAGTCTATTGCCAATAAACATAAGGAGAGAGATGTAAATTTATTATTCATGCATTATTTACAGTAGCAAAAAATAGAAACAACCTCATTGTGATCATTGAGAGAATAAATCTTGAAGTCCTAGCTAGACCAATCAAGCAAGAGAAGAAAATAAAGGGCATCCAAATTGGAAAGAAAAAGTCAAATTATCCTTGTTGGCAAATAATATGATCTTATATTTGGAAAAACCCAAAGTCTCCACCAAAGAACACATTAGAACTGACACATAAATTGAGAAAAATGTCAGGATATAATATCAATACACAAAAATTAGTAGCATTTTTATATGCCAACTAGAACAATCTGAAAAAGAAATAAAAAAGCAGTGTAATTACAATAGCTAATGAAACAAAAAACAAAACAACTGGCAATTAACTTGACCGAAGAGTTGAAATATTTGTACAATGTAAAGTATAAAACAACGATGAAAGACATTGAAAAGAATACAAAAAAAAAGTTTTACACTCATGGATTAGAAGAATTAATGTTGTGAAAATATCTACAATACCCACAGTAATCTACAGACTCAATACAGTTCCCATCAAAATAACGATGACATTCTTCACAGAAGTAGAAAAAAATCCTAAAATTTATATGCAACCACAAAGACCCAGAATAGCTAAAGTCATCTTAAGCAAAAACAACAAAACTAGAGGAATCATATTACCTGAATTCAAATTTTACAACAGAGCTAACATAACCAAAAAAGCATAGTACTGGCATAAAAAGAGACACGTAGATGGATGGAACAGATAGAGAACTCAGAAATAAATCCATACATTTATAGCAAACTTTTTTGACAATGGTGCAAAGAACATACATTGGGAAAAGGCAGTCTCTTCTATAAATACTGCTGGGAAAACTATCCAAATGCAGAGGCATGAAACTAGACCCATACCTATCAACATATACAAAAGTAAAGTCAAAATGGATTAAAGACTGAAAGCAAAGACTTCAAACTATAAAACTATTAAGACTAACAGAAAACGTTGGGGAAACTCTCCAGGATGTTGGCCTGGACAAAGACTTCTGGAGTAGTACCCCCAAAACAAAGGTAACAAAAGCAAAAGTGAAAAGGTGATATCACAGTAAGTGTAAAAGCTTCTGTACTACAAATAATCAACAAAGTGAACAGACAGCCCACAGAATGGGAGAAAATATTTGCAAACTATCTGACAAGGAATTAATAAGCAAAATATATAATGATCTCAAACACCTCAATAGAAAAAAATCTAATAATCTGATTTAAAACTGGACAGAAGATCTGAATAGATACTTTTCAAAAGATGACATACAAATGTCAACCAGGTATGTGAAAAGATGCTCAGCATCATTGATCATCAGAGAAATGCAAATTAAAACTATGAGATACCATCTTTCCTCAGTTAAGATGGGTTTTATCCAAAAAAACAGCCAACAACAGATGTTGGAGAGAATGTGGAGAAAAGAGAAGCCTCATATACCATTCATTGAAATATAAATTAGTACAACCACTATGGAGAACAATTTGGAGGTTCCTCAAAAAACTAAAACTAGAACTGTCATATGATTCAGCAATCTCACTGCTAGGCATACTCAAAGGAAATCACTATACTGAAGAGAATCTGCACTCCCACATTTATTGAAGCACTACTCACAATAGTCAAGATTTGCAAGCAACCTAAGTGTACATCAACAGATAAATGGATAAAGAAAATGTGATACATATACACAATGGAGTATTATTTAGCCATAAAAAAGGATGAGATCCTGTTATTTGCAACAACATGGATGGAACTGGATGACATTACATTAAGTGAAATAAGCCAGATACTGAAAGACAAGCTTTGCATGTTCTCATTCACTTCTGGAAGCTAAACATTAAAGCAGTTTAACTCATGGATATTGAGAGTAGAATAAAGGTACCAGAGGTTGGGAATGGAAGTGAGGGGTGGGGGACAGTTAATGGATATAAGCTATAGTTAGATAGAATGAATAAGGTCATATTTAATATCACAATAGGAGGACTATATCAGCAATTTATGCACATTTAGAAATAACTGAAAGTTTATAATTGGATTGTTTGTAACACAAAGAAATGATAGATGCTTGGGGTGATGGATACCTTGCTTACCCTGATGTGATTATTACACATTGCATACCTGTATCAAAGTATCTCATGTATCCCATAAATTTGTACACTTATTATGTATTCACAAAAATTAAAAATAAAAATATTTAAAAAGAGCATGGATTCATCTTATGAGGAAGAACTATATTGAAGTGGATATGAGTGCTGGGTCTAGTGGTGTGAATTTAAAAAACACAACTAAATATTATGATGTTGAAGGAAACAGCATATGGAGATACCATTTAAAGTTAAAAGCATAAAACAGAATCCTGTATGTTATTTATTGATACATACATAAGTAGGATTATTACCAATGAGTAGAAGTGATAAACATCACCAGATAGTATCTTCTTTGGAAGAAGAAAAACATATGGGAAATGGGATGAGGGATGAATATTTAAAACTTTATAGCTTAAGTGGTTGGTTCACACAGAAGGGTCCACTGGTTTTTCCTTTATAAGTTCTGTCCCTCTGACTTATTTAATAATTAAATCAATAGAAAAGCAAACAACCCAAGACAAATACCAAGATTTGCCTTGTTCTCCTGAACAGGTACCCAAAAAGGCATTGAGATACAGTATTGAAACTCCTGCCAGGTTTTCCGTCCCCTAATCCCAGAATCCAGTCAGGCATTTTGCTGATGATTCATTACAATCCAACATGATACTATAACAGGGGATCCATTTAAATCTTTAATAAAGAATCAAATGAATTTTTGCCAATATCTAGGAAGCTATTAATTAATTCACTTGACCTTCACACAGAAAACACTTCCTTTTATTTTTTGCTGTGTGGATATAAATATACATGAAAATAGTTTGAAGCTATTTATTTCTATGACTGACTGGCATAACTAAGAGCTTTGAAACCTGACAGTGTGGAAAACATGTCTCCCTTTTCTATTTTCCACACCAATAAAAAAAAAGCAATCAAAAATTTTCACCTGAAGATGAGCAAGAGATCTCGTAAAGAAAAAAGATGGAGCACTTGATGCAAATACATGAGATTATCTTTCGTGCATTTTCAAGCAGAGTCAAAGAAATAGATTTTCATAAATCAAAGCTTTCCAATTTTAAACAAGCATTTTTATTCCAGGCAACAGAGAGGTGGGAAGAGAGATAGGAATGCATTTGATGGGCAGAGGTTGACTGGAAAACTCATGTAACTTAGCTATTATTAATGGAATGAAATCTGGGTGACATTCAGGGATTCAGAAGATAAAGGGTGAATTTGTGTTGGGACTAAGCCCCCTTCAACTCACTCTTCCCCAAGCCATGTGAAAAGCAGTGTGCCATCAAATCACAGGCACTCCACTCCCTGTGTGGTACCGTACTTCTGTACTGCCTCCCATGTGGGTCCATGGAAGAAAATATAAGTCAACAAAAGTGTATATCCAGTACCCCTATTCTCCAATCTCAGAATAGGGAGGAGCGGAGACAGAAGTGGAATCCTAACAGAATTTAAACCAGAAGTGACTGAATTTACTTTGATTAAGCGAGATTAGGTTTTCTGATAACAGCAGAAACTGACGTAAAGCTAAGTTTAGTTACCGAGGAATAAAGTTAATTTTTTGAATTTATAATAACTTTGAAGTGTTACTATGAGGGAGTGAGAGAAGCAAGGAGGAGAAGAGAAAGAACTTGGACAAAAAGTGGTATGGTTTTAGCTGAAGTCCAGCCTTATTGTGATTCCATGAGTCGCTGTGGAAAGTGAATAGCACCACAGACTTCTTTTGTCTGGAGGCAAGGGGGCTGGCCTTAAGTATCCTTCATCAGTTAATCATTGACTGTAAGCTGCTTCTTGGAAGCACAGCTGGAGGAGTGTGCTACCGCAAGAGAGGCAATTTCTATCCGGTGAAGGCAATTCTCTGAGGAGGGACTAGCTAAGGGCCTCAGCAAACAACACTTGGAGCAGCTGTGGGATGGGGCCTCTGCAGGTAAAGGGAATGTGGGTGGGCACCAGTGGCATCCTATATGAGCTGAGAAATTAGTTGAGTTCTGGCCCACTGCAAAATTCCACCATAGGTGGGGAAAAACTCAAAGACCTCTCAAATATTTTCATCAACACCCAACTTTTACTGACTTTTCTGAGTTGCTCCCTTAACAATTTACAGTAACTCTAGCCCTGGAAATTACTTTGACAGCCGTATGTATTCTTCCCTGTGCTACTGCTTCTGGTATCAATGTTGTCCTGAGTCCTCCAGCCTCCTTAGCTTTTGATATTCAAAACCAGGCTTTAAACTCGAAAGGTCTGCTTTTCTCTCAGAAACATGGCTCTCACACTCCAAGATCTCCATTTTCAATACTATGTCTTTGCAATCCATGAAAAATAAAGTTCCAGCCAGAAACTCATTTGATTTTTCAAA